GCGCCCTATAGAAAAAAACCCTAAAAAAAAAAAAAAAAAAAAGAAAGAAAGAAAAAAAGATTTAGCACCTTTAAAGCCCTCCCATTTTCATTCTCCCCGTCTTACATGGTTACATCACTTTTGTTAAATTGACTTCGGCGGTTCTATTAAGGCCATGCAAATGCTATTCACTGCTGAGCCACGCGGGGCGCTGTGGTAATTTCCTCTCCTGTACATGGTGGATTTTTTTTCCTAAAATTAATAACTTTTTTTTTTGCTCTGTTTTCAACAGATAGGCAGGCTCTGCTCCCTGTGGAATGTTTCGTCACTCTTGTTTGGTGTTCCTCTTTTCATGTATCTTGATAGTCTTTTTCATTTGTATTTTCTCAGCATGGCGCTGTTTGTGATAGAGCTTAGCCTTCAGACCAATCGTCTTTTTTGCCTTCTTGGAACGTTCATGAGCCTCTCGACTTTCCTTCTTTCTCTTTTTCTCACGGTAATCCGAATGGTATCCATAGCGTTTACGATGTAATTCAATATATTCGTTCTGTGGCATGGTGACAACTGCAGAGTCCCCGGGAGCAGCTCCCCCTGCTCGCAGAAGTTGTCAACTACTCCTTACTATTGATATGTACTTTACTCCCCACTGATGTTAGCATTCTTTTTATTTAGATATGTTTTTTGTTTGTTTTGTTTTGTTTTGTTGCTACAGGGCATATGTGCTTACTGAAGAGAAAGAAAGAAAATAAGATATTTCTCCTCAGGATTTTGGGCATTCACACATATGTACCCTGTGTGGTTTTCAAGCCACCTGGTAAAGGACTCGAACTATACCCTTGGCCATGTGGGATCTAGCTGCCTTTTTTTTTTTTTCTTTTATGCCAAAGAGCATGAGGGAGTGGGCGAGGGAGAGAGAGAGACAGAGAGTAATGTGCAATCCTTTGTCCTCCAGTCCCCCACCCCGTTAGGATACTGGGCACACATATGGCCGCCGTGTGCTTTTCAAGCTGACACATCCAGACTTGAACCCTGGTCAGCCATATAGAATCCAGCTTCCTCTGTGCAGTGCCTACACCCTGTGCTACAGGGCAGCCCACTGTCCGTTCATGTTAATAGCCATCCCCATTCTTGTAGGCTGAGAAGTTCAGCTCAAAAATGTCCTGCTCTTCATCTGGGACTAATCAGTGGTTTTGTTTTGTTTTGTTTTGTTTTGTTTTGTTGTTTTGTTTAAAGGTTTCACCACAGGTCATATACACTTGCCAGAAAGAAATAGAGACAGTGAGAGGGAAAGTAAGAAATCACCCCCTGGAGGGGTGGCCACACTGCAATCCCTTCTCCTTCATTCTCCTCTCAGGATTTTGGGCATACGCATATATGCCCCAGGTATGATTTTCAAGCCACCAGGTCCGAGATTCAAACCATAGTAGGCAATGTGGAAGTCCAGCACCTTAACCATTGCACCACCTGCTGATCCCGACAGATAAGTTTAGTTTTTTTTTTTTTTTGGAGAGGTTTTCGCCATAGGGCACATGTGCTCAACAGACAGAGAGAGACACAGAGACAGAAAGCAAGAAATCACCCCCCCAGGGGGGATGGTCATGCCGCAATCCCTTCTCCTCCATTCTCCTCTCGGGATCTTGGGCAAGCATGCACACGCGGACGCGCCTGGTGTGAGTTTTAAGCCACCGGGTCTGGGACGGGAACCACGGTCGACTACATGGGAGTCCAGCAACATAGCCATTGTGCTAACTGCTGGTTCCCCTGACAGATAAGTATTTTGAAAGGGTCTCTCCAGGTTGTGCTCCCTCTGCCCCAGCCTCCCAGTTAGCTAGGACCACAGGTATGGGCCACGCTTTTTTTTTTTCCCACTTGGGTCAGGAGCCGAACGTAGGCCTCCCCTGCAGCCTCAGTGACCATGCAGCAGTGCCTTTCTGCTCGAACCACCTTGGCTGGACCCAAGGAGCAGAGATTTATGCGCCCGCCCTCCCCATGGGGCTGGAGTATCTACAGAAGTGATCTGGGGAACCAGCAGTTAGCGTAATGGCTATGTCGCTGGACTCCCACGCAGTCGACCGCGGTTCGTGTCCCGGACCCGGTGGCTTAAACTCACGCCGGGCACGTGTGCGTGCGTGCCCAAGATCCCGAGAGGAGAAGGAGGAGAAGGGATTGCGGCGTGACCATCCCCCCTGGGGGGTGATTTCTCGCTTTCTGTCTCTATGTCTCTCTCTGTCTGTCTGGCGAGCGCACGCGCCCTACAGTGAAAATCTCTCAAAAAACAAAAAAACAAACAAAAAAAGAAGTGATCTGGAAACCTTCACAGCACTTCACCTGTTCTCGCCCACTTGTTTGTTTAGGCGTTAGCATCAGGAAGGACTCCTGGATGTGTCTGTTAGACGCCCAGTTACAGTCCAGTACTACGTTACTTACTCTGTCGCTCAGATTGTCCCGGCTTTGGCCACAGGATGTCCCATGTCCTTTTCACACATCCCCGTCATTACAGGTTTGGTTTCGTTTTTGAACACGTCCTTACTTTCTGTCACTACGAGATGTCCCAGGCTCGTCTTGTAGATTTTATTTAATTATTTTCAGAATTATTTATTTACCTTTATTTATCATCATCATCATTATTATTATTATTATTTTTAATTTGCTATAGGGCATGTGTGCTCCAGAGAGAGATAGGGAGAGAGAAAGAGAAGAGAGAAAGCTGCCAGGTCTGGGACTGTGTGGGAGTCCAGCACCTTAACCACCATGCTGGCTGTGAGCCAGTATATTATTATATAAATCATGTATATTTTAAATACTTGCTTTCATAACTGATGTGTCTATCAGAATGAAATACTCGGGACCAGCAGTTAGCGTAATGGCTATGTCGCTGGACTCCCATGTAGCCGACTGCTGTTCGAGTCCCGGACCCGGTGGCTTAAACTCATGCTGGGCATGTGTGCGTGTGTGCCCAAGATCCCAAGAGGAGCATGGAGGAGAAGGGATTGCGGCGTGCCCATCCTCCCTGGGGGTGATTTCCTGCTTTCTGTCTCTCTGCTCTCTCTGTCTGGCGAGGGCACGCACCTTATAGCAAAAACCTCTCCAAAAAAAAAAAAAAAGAATGAAATACTCTTTGATAATTTAGGACCTAGAATAAATAGTTCACTTGAGGAGCATAGAAATAGACAAATAAAAAGCGTAGACCAGCCAAGTAGTCTGGAAGTTAAGGCAGCTGGATTCCACATGGTTGATGCAGTTTTTGTTTGTTTGTTTGTTTTTGGTTTTTTGAGAGGTTTTTGCTATTGGGCGCGTGCGCTCGCCAGAAAGAGAGAGACAGAGAGATAGAAAGCGAGAAATCACCTCCCTGGAGCGATGAACACGCCACAATCCCTTCTCCTTCACGCTCCTCTTGGGATCTTGGGCATGCATGCACATGTGCCTGGTGTGGAGTTTAAGCCACTGGGTCCGGGATTTGAACTGTGGTGGACTACATGGGAGTTCAGCAACATAGCCATTACGCTACTTGCTGACCCCCATGCAGTTTGAATCCTGATCCCCAGAGGCTTGAAAAACACTGGGCACCTGTGTGTGCATGCCCCAAATCCCGACAAGATGGAGAAGTGGAGGAGAAGGGATTGCAACTTGGGACCCA